TGTACCAGTAATTTCTGAATACTTTCACATATAATACTTTTATTATATTTAAGATGACAGACATAAAATTGTGTTACTTTAATAACTTCATTCTAAGATGGTGCCCAGGCCTTAAACTATGAACTCCCTGAGTGCAAGGTGTGTGGGAATGTTAGCCCAGGCACCTAGCACAATGACTAGCATTTGCTTAATGTTCAGAAAACATTTGTTAAATAACTGAATGGTGGCAGAAGAGGTGAGGGTGGAAGGAAAGAGGTAGAATGTAGCATCTGGGCCAGAATAGGAAAGTCCTTAGTAAGATTTTATGAATGGGTCTTATAAAACTATCAATGATATATTGACTGTAATGACAGATTTATGATGTATTTGACTAGGAATTATCTAGAGGAAATGAATTTACCAGAATAGTAACATTAGTCTATAAAGTCTTTGAGGAAATCAATACTGTAGAAGACAATACCTCTTATTTCATTTGTCTTTCTCACCTAGTAAGTCATCATCTTCTTTTATCCCTTTTTGACTCATAAAAGTCCAATTCACCACTCTAGAAGATTCCCTGATTTCTTCATTAGTCACTTAAAAGTTGTTTACATTTTACAAAATAGCTGGTCAAACAAATACTTGAGCTCTTGAGCTACACAAACTGAGACCCTGACCTACAGAAGAATACAGTGTCATAGGGAAGACAGACATTAAAGAGATTTCTGCAAGCAATTACATGACTACCAGTGTGTACAGTACTTGGAGAGGTATGGGACACTGGGAATGCTTAATGGGGAGAGTGCAAAATTACCTGGACGGCTGACTCAGCACTTGTTTGGGGCACCAGCAGAGGCTCAAGAAAAAAAAAAAAAGAATAAGGCAGCATGTATGAGACAGAGACAGAGGGGGATAATTTGAATCAGAAGAAAATCTAAAAAGAAGTTATTCAGGATATGTATACATTTTGCTGTATGTTATTTCAAAAAAAATGGTAAATGTTTCACACTTTTTTGTGTGTGTTTGAATTCATATTTAGTTGGGGGCTGGCAGCCACTGAGATCTTTTAAGTGCGTAGGATTTATAAATGTCTTAACACAGCTCTACAAGGGGACCTGACCTTCTCTGAAGGGTAACTTTTAAGCTGAGACTTAAATGATGAAGAAGAATTGTAACAGGGAAGAGCCAAACCTGACTACATGTTGGATCTGTTTCTTTTACCTTAACCTTTGCTTTCCGCTGCTTTTGTTCACTAAAAGGATACTGTCTATACATAATGGCCTGCCTCGGGGAACCCTGCCCCTCTGCCTGAATGTTAAACCAAAGTGCCTTTGTTCAAACATCCCGACCCTCTCTAACTGTGGATGGCCACAAGAAAGAAGAAATGAACACATCCCCTCCCCGAGGCTGGCCATTCCAGGTGATATTTGCAAAACTTATGGCCTTTTTACTTTACTTCCTCATCTCCTCCCATTCTCTGTGCTATAAAAGAAACTGGCATCCAAACTCCGATAAGATGGTTATTTTGAGACTTTAGTCTGCCATCTTCTCGGTCTGCGGGCTTTCTGAATAAAGTCGTATTCCTTGCCTCAGCACCTCGTCTCTGATTCACTGGCAGCTTGGACTCGGTAACAGAATTAGTCAAGTAAGACGGTAGAGGACATCAGAAGAGATTTCCAAACAGAGGTACATGCTGCATGTGAAATGACCCACAAGCGGCTGAGACCACAGCCTCATTCATCTCTTTCCTGTCCTCTGTAGGGAGTCACTTCCGAAGGCTGACTCATCCAGATCTTGTCATATATGTACAACAAATGGCTGTCTTGCTGTGAGAGCCATGTCAGGATATTAACCACAGGCAAGTGGGCAATCACAGTAACGTAGATACAGAGTTCATTTTGGTACAGCTTTATTTATGTAAGAGAAAATTTTCTGGGGCTTCCCTGGTGGTGCAGTGGTTAAGAATCCGCCTGCCAATGCAGGAGACACGGGTTTGAGCCCTGGTCCGGGAAGATCCCACATGCCGCGGAGCAACTAAGCCCGTGCACCGAAACTACTGAGCCTGTGTTCTAGAGCCCGCGAGCCACAGCTACTGAGCCTGCATGCCGCAACTACTGAAGCCCATGCGCCTAGAGCCCGTGCTCCGCAACGGGAGAAGCCACCACAATGAGAAGCCCACACACCGCAACGAAGAGTAGCTCCCACTTGCTGCAACTGGAGAAAGCCCGCGCGCCGCAACGAAGACCCAGTGCAGCCCCAAAATTTCTGAACACATACTGTGTGCCAGGCCCTAGGCTACCCAATGATTTCCTACTCTGGGTTCTTGTAGGGCCACTGCCAGATCTCAGATGTCTTCAGTTAAGATCTTTCTCTCACCTGACTCCTGGAGAAGTGTGGCTTCTCCTCCTGGCTGCATTCTGTTTCTGCCCCAGCATCCTATCTCCCCTGATCCCAAACCAACCCAGCCACTGTCTTCAGTCCATCCCAGAGAACTTCTTCTCAGCCTCCCTGAGCACTAAGCAGCAACAGGCTTTATACCTGTTATCCAGGATTATCCAGGATTCTGCCCCACTGCACCCTCACCTGCTCTCTGATATCCCCTTGCTGTTATTACTGTGAATCTCCCAGACCCTTCCTTAGTGGAAAGCTATTACCAAAAACCCCTCAGACAAGCAGCCACTTTCTTCCTGTTTCCCATACAGAAATCTCTTTGAATTAGTATTTCTCAATATTCAACTTCCAACCCATTCTACTTCTTGCAACCTTAACAAACAGCGCTCTCTTTGACTCAGCGTGTTTTCTTGCTCACAGTTTTTTTCCTCCTTTCACATACTGCCTAACCTGGCTTCAGCCTTTACTCGTTGTTTTGTTTCCTTCCAGTTTAATCTCCTACTCATATAAATTAACATCTATACTCATTGTAAAGTAGTGAAAACCATATGTAATTGTGGTAGTGGTAAAGAAATCACATAATCTTCCGATTAGATTATCTGGAGCTCATCGTTATCTTAAAACTAATCTTTATGACTTATAAAATGAATGATTGTCTTATGTTTTCCTTTATTCCTTCTATTCAGAAAAGATTGAAGGTGGCTTAACAAAATACACAAAGTATAATAAGATATAAAGGAGGTGGAGTAACCAGCTAAAGGGAAACTAAAAGTAGACAAAATGAGAAGTCAGGGTAAGAGTAATTCACAAAGTGTACACTGTAGAGTCTGGGCATTTGCCATAAATAAGCCTCTGAATTTTTTAAGTACCAACACAAGGACAGAAGGAAGCACATTCAATTACATAATGCTCACAAGCTTATGAAACAAACTGGTTGCTCAAGAGAAGCAGAGTCATTTGTGGTAATGAATTTCTGCAGGCTCTCAAGAGAACACAGTGTGATGAGTGAGCGGTGTTCCCAGTTGCACCTCCACAGCAAAAGCAGTCGCGGGGTTCCTGAGGCTGCTTCTCCTACCGTATCTAGACTTACGCTGTTCATATGATCCTAAACTGCAGTTCAGTAAAGGTAACCGCAGCAGGAGCCAAAACAAGACTATCTACAGACAGATTCCTGATCATTTTTCTTTAATCTAAAAATAAAATTGACATCACCAGAAGACAGTACATAGTCCTCAGGAAATCCTCCATTAACATTTCTTCTCCCAATTGAGAATTTCTGATAAATCTGCAGATCAGAAAGGCGTGTTGGCAAGTTAGGGCATACTCACATCCATTAGGACTCAGCAGAAATGGGGATGGAGTTAACGTGGTTTCATAAAAGTTAAGGAAACAGATGGGAGCTAAGGAAATACTTGTGGGCTAAGTCAAGATTTTCCTCAGAAAAGAATTTTGGATCTATTCTAATATAGATAAAAGGGCAAATGCCAAGATTTTGCCATTGAACACAACTGTGATGGTTTAGCCTAGAAAAATCTATGAAGTAGCTGTTAACAAACGCCTCCCCATGCAGTCTTTCTTTCCCATTTTTTTTTGTTGTGGTAAAATACACATATAAAATTTATCATCTTAACCATTTTTAAGTGTACAGTTCAGAACATATGTATGCTTTACATACTTTGACTTTTTCAAGAAAGAGATCATTTTTATGGATCCTAACTCTCACAGTGGCTTTGAGTTTCGGTTCTGTATAAGCATAAATAGCCAGAAATTAAAACTGTGTTCATATAACTTAGTCCACAACTGACATCTGTTTGAGAAATTTTCAAGAAAAGTTGAAAATATGTAATATGAGATTGTTCCTGATGAATTTCTTTACGAGGTGATAAAATATATAATCCTGGTCAGCACTGGAAAAAGCTTGCCTGAAGTCTGGTTTTTCTTTGCCTAAAGTCTGGTCTGGAAATTCTGGAATGATAGTTAACCAGAAGGAAACTGCTTTTTTAGCATAATAATTTACAGTATACTAGATTTATGATTTTGAGAAAGTAGAAAGCTGCCCTTTTAAAAATGAGAGCAGATTCTAGGACCCACCTGATGGCTCCATCAATGTAGAAATAATTAAGGCAACAGATTGGCAAGGCTTACTGTCCTCCAATCAGACTGAACCTTGAAGAGTTCTGAGAGGCACACAACAGAGTGTCCTGAGTCTAAAGGATGGTGACCAGTGGTCTTACTGCATAGCTTAGGATCTACTGAAATCATTCAGTATACTTTGCTTTATATCACTTTGATATTCCAGAACTAAATATTTTTTCCCAACTACTCAGTTATTGGAATTAATTTATTAATTCATTTAACAAACATCTGTTGAGTACCTTTTAGACACTGTGGGTTCCAAAATGAATGAGCCAGGAATCGTGACCTTAACAAGCTCACAGTCTGTGCTTCCTATTGATGGTCCAAGATGTTCTGATCAAGAAAAATATCCCTCTTTGTCTTTGTTATACCTAAGAATCTCTATTACAGCAAACCAGGAGATTTTTTACCCCCTGGGAACAAACACATCTCACAGGTATATTTAGCACAGAATTATATTAACAAGTTTACTCAAGAGAAAGAACCATACTTACCATTAAATCAGTGGCTGTTGTGTGATGCTGTTATTCTCTTGGAAGGTCTGTCACCTCACTTGAAATGGCTTAAGTTTCAGGTTTCCTTGTCTGTCACCAGAGCACAACTTCCTACAACGTGCTTTACTTCTGGCTCTTTGCCAGTCCAGCACTTTTGAGCTGGATGGTTCACTCTAGCAATAATTTCCTATCTGAGCTTTCTTCTCTCTTCACCCTATCACGTATAATGTCTATGGACTAACACTCTGATTTCAACCTGTCATTTCATTGTTCAGAAAATTCCAGTGATTGCCCAATTTCCGGTAAACTCCCGTGACTAACCGGAAACTCTCCTAATACTACGCCTCCCCTTATTCACCCAACCCCACCTCTTATTACTCCAAATTAGTTGTACCTCAAACATCTTTAGCTTTCCGCACTTCTTCCTGCTGGAAAGCCTTTCCCTCCCACCTTCATCCTCCCATTTCAAGTTCAGCTCAAATTCACCTCCTTTCTTCTGAACGCTCCTCAACTGCTATTGCTCACATCAGTTTTCTGAAATTAATGACTATTATTGGTATAGTTTAGAACTTAATCTCATACTGCCTTGGACTGTTATTTAACTGACTCCTCTCTGCAACTTCTCTTTCCAACAAGATTGTAAACTCTCCCCAGAGAGAAGGGCTCACCTTAAAAGTTGTACTTGTGTCTCCTCCTAATTTTAGGCAGTTGTTATGCATACATTTGGTGTTCAATACATTGAAGAAATAGCTGTGGAATGAATGAACTACCATTGACTGCAAATATATTTTCTTTCATTCCTTTACAGCTGGTGCTTGCCTTAAGTCCTGTATATTCTGATTTCAGTGTTTTCAAACTGCTCCAACCACAACCAATAGGAAGACATTCTTTTTATATTGTGATCTGATGTGTGTGTGTGCGCGCACACACACACACACACATACACACCTGAAACAAGTTTCACAAAACAGTACATATTATTTACACTAAGCAATATATTCCGATGTTTTATGTTCTGTTTTTTAAAGATACTGATCATGACAGCTCATGACACACTAAATTGATTTAATCACCACTAAAGAGTTATAATCTACAGTATAAAAATACTCTATTTTATGCTTCTTAGATTAATATGAGGTGTAGAATATTGCTCCTGAAAAATGCTTAGACCAAAACACTGCCATGAGTACTCATTCTGTTACTGACAGTTTGAGCTACAATTATTATCTTTACACAGCTATCTTGAGATAACGTCTTACCATATTCCACCATGGCGTTTAGAATCAACTCCTCCCACTTCCACCTTTTGAAAATTGGGACACAGTTAAATAACAACGCACAAAATGTCCTCTAGATTTCTATTGCTTATCTTGTCTTGACAAACTTTAGTGGCATATAAGTAAAAATTTGCTGGCCTAATTTTATTCAGACCACTTGCAGACGAATAAAAATAGGTATGTTCATATTTTTCTTTACAATAGCTTATTGTATTTCTTTACAATAGCTTATTTTTCTTTACAATAGCTTAAGGTTACTTAACCTGAGCACGTTACTTAACCTGCGCCTCCATGTCTGCATCCACACAATGGGAATAATATTGTATCAACTTCAGTAGTATCAACTTCAAAGGATTGATGGGGTTAAATTAGACCATGCAAGTAAAGAGTTTATTACAGGGTCTGGGACACACAAGTGCTCCATGAATGGTAGTAATGTTTTATCCCTATTACAGATAAGTAAATGTATCTCAAACTTCCTTTTAGGGTCATAAAGCAAGGTTCAGTTAGAAGAACAAAAGTGAGATTACTTTTTCTCTTTAGATATCTAGTTAATTTTTATAGTTGGATTTATATATAATGTAAAATTCCACTTCTGGTTTTACAGACCATAAATACTCCTAAGGAAAGGCTCTATTTGTGGTGCTGGATAATCATTATATAATAAGGAATGTCTATTGAAACTAAAAGACTGTGTGTTTATATATGCAAAAAAACTTGCCTAGTTTTGCTAATCTCATTTAGATTTCTGTTTTCGCTTAATAAAAAACATTCTTTAACTCTTGTGTGTCGAATGGTGAAATGTGCTTTAATTCGGCAAAATACTGCACACAATACACATACATAACACTCAAGATGTATACGGGCTTGCTTTTGAATAAACCGAGACCCGGCACTTCATTTCAGCCTTCCAAGTCAAAGTTTTATTCCAGTTGTTTTTATATTCCTTCTTACCTCTATTTTTCCACACCCTTCTCTTATCTACGTCTTGTTACTGATGAGGTGTTTTTGATTGCAGGAGTTCGGCAGTTAACAGTAAACAACTACCTTCCCACAGAAAGTATTTTTCCCCCAACCTGTTCAATTTAGCACTGCAAGACAGCGTATCTTTCTATTCTCCCGGAAACGCTAGTCTGCACCGGACCAGGCCCAGGGGAGTTGCATCCCCTTTCAAAATTACTGAAGTGATCAAGATTTCCCTAGCCCCAGCTCAGTCCTTTGCTAAAGAGAGCTGCGTTAAGTGTTGAGACAAAGGCTTTGGCAATTTCACTGAACCGAAACTGGAGACCTCCGGGAATTAACTTTCAGTCACTACACTCCTGATCTTGCGTATGCGTGTCGGGCTGCTGGGGGAACCAAAGAAGGCAGAGAACCAGAAGCAGACCCGCAACAGGAGGTAGGAATAGAGGAGTCGGCCAGGAGCTGCAGACTCGGTAGACAGACACACCCACGCGACTAAATCCTACCCCAGAAACGAGGGGAGGGGCAGAGCCCAGACGCCGCGTTCGGAAGCCCGGCCCCCTTCCACGCTCGCCGCCTTCTCCACCCACGCGGCTGAGCCTGGGCCCTGGGTCCGCGCAGCCAGTTTCGTCACGTCCGGAGGCGGGCCGGGGCGCCGGGGGCTGGCCCGGGTGGGGCCGGGGGTGGGGTTGTGGCGGTACTGCGGGTGACAACGGTCAATAATGAAGGTGGCTGCGGCGCGGCAGCGGACTCAGCTGCGCCGGGCGGGGGCGGCGCCGGGACCGCGCCTGTAGGACCTCGGGGCCGGCGCGGCGAGATGGGGCCCCGGCGCGGGGAGTGAGGCGGGCGCGACGGCGAGCGGAACTTCAGCCGGAGGGGCTCTCCTGCTTCCCCCTCTGGCTCTTCGGCCTCCACCTGCAGCCCCTCGGCCCCCGCGTCCCGCGGGACCGGGACGGCAACGGCGGGGGCATGTGGCGCTGGGTCCGGCAGCAGCTGGTAGGTGCCTCCGCCCCTCACCTCCCGGACGCTTGCTCCTGCGCGGTCTCTCGGGCCCAGGTGGCGAGGAAGGGCCGGCGGCGCGGAGCCGCGAGGCCGGGGCGCGGGCTCCGGGCTAGGCCGCAGCGGAGGCGGGCTAGGGCCCGGGAGCCGGCAGAGCCCCGAGCAGCTCCGGCACGCGTCTCGCCGCCGAGCCCGGGCCGCCGAGGTCGGCGGCCGCTTCCTGCCCGCGCTTCTCGGTTACTCCCTCCTCCTCGGCGCACCAGGGCGGCTGCGATCAGAAGCGAGTCCGGAGCGGGGTCGGCGTCCCTCCTGAGGAACTCGGGCGAGGGCACGGAAAGAGAGTAGGTCTTGGGGAGAGAAAAGAGTCTTGTGTTTCCTGCCTCTAACAATTTGGGACTCGTTTGAGCGAAGGGGAGGGTGAGGACTTGTCTCCAGCTCCCTCTCCTCGCTGTTTTCGCGGTTGCGTTATCAAGGAGGAGGGTCACTTACCTAGTCTAACCGCTCTCAACGAAAGAAATTTTACCCAAGGCCTGGGTGAGGGAAAGAAAGAATATTCCAACACCCCGTCTAGTTTCGAAGGTAAGTACGGTAGTTATGGCGGACTTTTCCTTCTTACCTTGTCCTCGCCCTAACCCCAAGTGAAACTTTTCGAACGCGAACCTCCCTTTTTTTCCGCTCTCCCGAGGCAGTTTGAACGAGACCGGTTTGGAATCAATGGTTAACTTTTCAGTTTTACTGGAACACCTGGAGAAAAAAAAAGGATCTTAGAAAAGGGTGATTTAAGGCATATAAAAAGCGCCACCTTTCTCAGAATTAATTCACAGACAAAACTTTCTTGGCTGCTGGCGGCTGCAGCCCGCAAAGTACACCACTAAGGCAACGTGACAGTTAGGACTGAAATTGCTCCTGGCTGAAGAAGCCTAACCTTACCTCCATGATGAGGTCTGTTACTGTTTGCGGCTTAATTTCTAAATCGCATTAGTAATTAAATGCTGTTACAACTCGGTGTTTTCACTTACGAATTCAAAAGGCCGTGAAGCAAAAACCGTTTTTGTGGGACTGTAAAGATTTTGTGGGACCAAAACATTGATACCTCTTTTTCCCTGCTCTGGAAGAACATTTTTTTGTTGTTATGACTAAGAAGTATGCTGTTTCAGAGCTAGCCTTCTGTTAATTCATTTGGCAGTGGGCATCATTCTCAAAAAAAAAAAAAAAAATCTTATAAATAAAACTAGAACTGCCTTCCACTGCCTCAGACAAATGTTAGCTCTCTATTTTTAGGTAATTGGGCATTCATATATCTCAGATATATGCCTTATTAGGAAACCAAGCTAATGATGTCATTATAATACCAGATTGTTGTAATACTTTGGCTTCGTTGCAGTAAGCGGCAGCTCGGTAACTTTAGAAGTTGATTATTTCAGGTCTGATCTCATGCCTTTGATTTGCCCATCTTCATGTATAGAAGTCTTTGTTTACCTGATGGTGTTTTTGTGTGCTAGTGGTTCTCTTAAAGTTTTTTCTAGTAGATTTAAGACACCACTTCTCAGTGTTAGGTATTTTTGTTAACCTGAATAAAATCCTGATTGTATAACCATTGTCATCTTCAAGACAGGCAGTCTGGTAATGTTTTTCTTAAATGGTTTCAGCTGAACACAACTAAAAGGAAGGGCAGGGAGTTGTGTGGTTAATTTACAAGACAGCAGCTGCCTTACAGGGTGGTTAACAAGTTGAACAAGTTCGCTGTACACAAAAAATGCTCTCTCTGACATTGGTTGCTCACTTCACTGGTTTTACTTTTAAGTTATCAGTATGGAAGTACGAAAGTATGTAATCAGACCTGTGCCCATGTAGGACTTTGTTTCTCTGATTACCTTTGTACAGTCACTTAAATTATACATTAAGGATAGTGGATTCACAGAGTAATGAAAGTGTATTTTACTATCCCAGTCATAAACAGCCATTCTGGTTACTACACCAGGAATTATTCAATTCAAAGTCTAGTTTAAATTATAATTCCAGTTGCTCAATGAATTGAGTCTTTTAGCAATAGGTTGGTTCACTTAAGAAAATTCAGATAACTAGGACAGATTTGGAGAAATTAATAAGCAGACCACAAAGACAGGTTTTTTTGAGTTATAAAAACACTTTATTCATTATATGCATCCCGATTTTCAACAAGTTAAATTGTCTTGCCAAAAAAAAAGTTCATTGTCATTTTGTACTGAAACAACTCATATGTTCTATTAATTCTTCTCTAATTAAAAAAAGTTTGACTCCTTATCTCCGCAGACTATTTTCACTTCTTGACACACTGAGAAAAATTAGGAGGTTGTCAGAAAGTTGATGTTTTCCTTTGGGGAAGTATACTGAAAAGATTGGACTATCCTTTTTCTTTCTCTTTTGTTCTTTCTTTTTGGGCTCATAATGCTAAAGTTATTTCACACTAAGAAAATTTTCTTATGATGTCTTTCTGGTACAGTTGGTATTATTCTAGCATCACATGTGTGTTAACTCATTAGAGATGACAGCACCATGATTATAATAGTGGAAATGCCATTAGCTACTCACTCTATTCTCATATTTAGATTTTTGTGGTAGCCATTAACCACCTTGGCTATTAAAAGTCTAATCAATTAAAAATCCATGCGGCTGTTAGCTACTATATTGGACAGTTCAGAGTAGGACATATTTATTAGCACAGAAAATTATTGTACAGCGCTACTTTAGACAAATGAAAGTCTTTGTCAGTTCATATTTTAGTTGACATGTAATATTTCTTTACAGGGCAATGTAGTGCTGTGTTTTTAAAGCACTTACTGTGTGCAGACATAATAAGCTAAATACTGGGGACACAAATGTAGGTCACTGAGGGCCTTATTCATCTCTGTATGCTCATTGTCTCACACAGTACTTGACATGAGTAGACACTGGGTACATGTTTGCTGAATAAATGAATAGGTGAGAAAATAAAGAATGAATCCATAGTATTGCTTCTGTGTTTAGAGATCAAGTGACAAAATTCAAAGATTGACCAGTCCATAAGAAAGCTAGAAAATTACTATAATTTTTAAAAACACAACTTAATGTTGTCATACTAGGATACAGTTTATTAAATTGTTCCATAAGTGTAGTCCCTTCAGGTTTGTATCCGCAGTGGTGGAAGGAGGCTAGTAAGATTGTCTTCTGATTCACTGAGAAAAATGGGAAGCTCTTAACCTAAACTCTCAACCCATTCTTATTCACCAGACTTGTTTATATCTTAAGCCTAACCTTTACACTTGTCACAGAGGAAGGTGCGACGGTCCTCTTTTCCAAACTAACCAGTCCACTCGTGCTCTTTCATCCTGCTCTCCGCACTCCATATCAGTTATCTATAGTATGTTTACTCTTTTTCTTTCAGCTGTGAACATGTTCAAGCCTCCCTCTACTAATTTACTTTGCCCTGTACCTGTGTCAAATTCTTTTCAGTTTTCTAAAAAATAGGTCTATTCTGCATAATGATGCTGTTCAAGACCCTTGAAATGTGGCTAGTTCAAGTTGAAATATGCTTAAGTATAAAATACGCCTAGGATTTTAAAAATGGTATAAAAAAAGAATGTAAAAATCTCAATTTTTATATTGTTACATGTTGAAATAATATTCTGGATTTATTCAGTAAAGTCAAATATTGCAATTAATTTTGCTTGTTTCTTTTTACCTTTTTAAAAAAGGTTACTAGAAATTTTTAAATTACATATATGGCTTGTATTTGTGGCTCATCTTATATTTCTGTTAGTGCTGCTGTATAACATTAAAAGTGAGCTTGTGTTTCTTTATGGCACATTATGTAAGTCTAGGTAGCTCACACACTAGACTGTAAATATCTTAGGATGGGCCATATTTTGTTCATCTTTATAGCCCTTGCACTCAAGACAGCAGCTGGCCCATATTGTAGGTACTCGCCCACCAAATGTTGGTTGACTAAGTGAATGAGAATCAGATTTATTTCAGCATCAATTTGGAAGTACCTGTGTTCTTTGCCTTTCTCTCAAGGAATGAATGAGGAGGAGTAGGTCAGGGAAGCACAGGCCTACGGTGCTATTTTTTTGGTGTGACCAAGTAAATTTTAACCTCAAAAATGTTTAAGATCCGAGAGCTTAGAGTATTTGCTTATTTTATCTCTATGTTCAGACTTATATTCTCAGATACCCAATTTTTCATTTGGTTACAGAGGTCAAGCATTAGTGGAATCCCAATTATCCTAACAGCACTGAAGTAGGGACCTTGTCCAGATACCCCAAAGAACCTTGTGATTGCCACTATCATCATTAAATATCCCTTCTATCCCTGCAGTCTGTTTTCAACATAGCAGCCAGAGTGATCTTATTAAAACACAGGTTAGGTCATGTAATTCCTGTGTTTAAAACCTTCCTGAGGGGCTTCCCTGGTGGCGCAGTGGTTGAGAGTCCGCCTGCCGATGCAGGGGACACGGGTTCGTGCCCCGGTCCGGGAAGATCCCACATGCCGCGGAGCGGCTGGGCCCGTGAGCCATGACTGCGGAGCCTGTGCGTCCGGAGCCTGTGCTCCGCAACGGGAGAGGCCACAAAAGTGAGAGGCCTGGGTACCGCAAAAAAAAAAAAAAAAAAAAAAACCTTCCTGAGGACTTGCCTTCTTGCTCAGAGTAAAAGCCAAAGTCTCTGGTAGATCTGTATCCACCCCGCTCCCCAAACCACTTCTCATCTCTCATCATTCTTTTTTTTAATTTTTATATATTTATTTATTTATTTTTGGCTGCGTTGGGTCTTCGTTGCTGCCCATGGGCTTCTCATTGCGGCAGCTTCGTGTTACGGAGCACGGGCTCTAGGCGTGAGGGCTTCAGTAGTTGTGGCTCGCAGGCTCTAGAGCGCACGCTCAGTAGTTGTGGCACACATAGGCTTAGTTGACTCCTTGGCATGTGGGATGGATCTTCCCCGGACCAGGGATTGAACTCGTGTTCCCTGCGTTGGCAGGCGGAT